TTTCAGTATTCACTCCGAACTCCGTAATGTCACCCTAAAACTACCACTGAATATGTAGTTAGAAAGGCAACGACAGCTTTGCTATTAAATCTTCCAGCCTAAAGAACTCAACAACATGAGCGACTGTTTCGATAAAATCAGTACTTCTGTAAATTGAATTTCAAAGTTTCTCTTGATTTCAGTGAACAACCTATTCAACCAGTGTGAATTGTTTTATAATATACTAGTATGCGGACCTTACATTATATATGACTGCTTATTGTGTTGTCCTGTTAGTCAGGCTGAAGTGGATTAAGAAGGATTGCAATTTGTTCGTTATCGTCTAGAAATCAGACATTAATGTTTGTGTGATATATATTACCATCCCCTTTATTCAAAACCGGCTGAGATCAACTTCAAAAAAGCTAATCTTTAAAAATTCGCTTGTAATATCAAGCTGCACCTCCTCTTTTATCCCTTTTCACTGGTTCTTCCGCCAGCAATTTTACAGTAATTGAATAAAAATCAGTCTTGAATAGTTACAACTATAAGCTCACCTTCATTTTCACTACCATTTGCAGGACCAGATAGGAGAAAAACTTAGTCCTGAGGGATTTTGTACAATTAAAAAATAAACTCATACAAAATGTCTACACTTTTCACACTGAATTTGACACCAATTTCTAAAACCTAAGCATGATAGATTATATTATATAAGCCATAAAGTTTCTGTGCGTGAAAGTATATTTACATGAAGATGCTGGTAGATTCGCACTGGATAACTTGACAAGTGAGCCGATTATAACTGGAAGGTTCAGTCAACAACATGTCCTTTCACAGAGTTTCAGTTATTTAAACAGTACACTAAGCAATTCAAAACTCTGGATTCACTCAGCAACATCTATTTCCTGTTGTTTGAAGACAAAGTTTTAAAAATCGCCAAAAATATACTTTTAACAGGTAAGAAGTACTTAATACACTGTAATGTTTTTCTTTAGGCTTGGTAGAAAATCTACCTATAAAGTGTCAAAAGGTTTTTGTGAAATTAAAAAAACTTTAGCCTACAAAATAATTAATCACGTATCTTTTATCACATACGCACATATATTAAGCCTAGTTTTCATATCCTTCTCTGTCTCCGGCCTCTTGATTTTCCTTAATTCATAGAGTTAGAAGAAAAAGCACTTTGATAAATAATCAATTACACTTTATTTGCTTAAAATACGGACAATAACTTCCTTATCATTCTCATTGTGATTAAATCCTACTTCATAGGGTTACGCAAATCGAGCATGAACATATTAAGTACCATTACGTGCATTTCTGATGCCCAAATTCATGCCGTGATTGCATTTTACAAGAAAAATAAATTCACCTACGTTGTTATTTAATAACTGACGTGCGGATTAGAAAACAGTACTGGCTGGAAAAGACAGATAATGCAAGGGGTTGAAATATTGAGAATGGTAGGAAGGGAAAAAAGAAACAAATGACACAGGAAATGGATTAAATTCTTATCCAGTTTCTAATGAAAACTATTTCTGTCTATTTTACGAAAAGGAAATTGCACTCCGCTGTATTAATATTTAAAACTAGAAGTTATATTGTAGGTATCACGTAAATATGACTCTGAAGAAATACTAAATAGTTTAACCGGAGCATAAAACGACGTGCCAAATGCTTACATTTAGAGTTATGCGGGTGACAGTACCTAATTTATTCTTTTTTATTTGTATCGCCTAGAGATGAAACAAAGAAGAAGAATCATCAAGCAAAGTCATTGCACTAATTGAAACTCTTCATGGGAACATCTGTCATACAGAAATCACAACTCACTAGACTATGATCATTAAAAAATGGGTTAGTAAACATATCCGTCATATTGTCTAAAACATTCTTTTTCCACTGTATCTGAAGACTGGCCTTCATAATATTCCATTAACTTTCAACTCCTCTGATGCGCTTGACCTTGGACTTCTGTGGTCTTTAGACTTAACAGTCAGGATTTCTTCAGATGCAGGAATTATAAGTACTAATTCAGGATGCAAAATCATACGGAAGAATGGTCAATAAATGAAACAAACCTCGCAAAAGTGTTCAAAATACGTACCTGTGATGAGTTGCAAAGAATAATAAGGACAATAATCTAAAACAGCGGATCGAAACTGATTAGTCGGGCTAAACATCGACAATACAACGAATATTCTGAGAATAACGACGCGCTACATAATGAGTAAACGTTATTCAATAAACTTTTGCATCCATACACAGGTACATGTGAAATCCTATTTACAGTAAAAAAAATTTTCAAAAAAAAATGCCAAGTTATCACCAACTGATAACACATCATTGAAAACCAGACATTACTGATCCTAGTTTGAGATCCTACCCCACGTCGAATCCAGGACTTTCAGGTGACTAGACGAACCCAATGACCATTCAGTCACCAAAGCAGCTGATCTAACGCGAAATCATATTCCTACTAACCAACATTTGAAAAGAATGCAGTTATAAGTGAATATCAGTGAGACTGCAGAGAAACTCCTACATTGTGAAATTAATATAATTCAATTAACTTGTGAATCTTTATTTATTAATAACGTAGATGCCGTATAGAAATTTTTATACTCGTAGACACATTGTTAAATATTGGCTTTTATTTCTTTTAAAAGTTACTCTCTAAATATTCAATTAATCATAGATCACCGAAAAACTCTTAGTTACAAGGATATCCAAGCGCACAGAAAGCACAGACAAATTTCTTTTTTCTCCGCAAAACAATTAACGGTAAGATGTTTTTCAATAACTAGCATTTAACCTGTTCACTTGAGAATACACCCTTTCCGTTTCATCATCCTTTCCTGTTTATTTATCTCGTTATTGTAGAATAAATAAACAAATTTGTGATGAAAAGCATTGGACGCTAGAATCAGTTTTTTTTAAACTTTGATTCCTTTGCTGGTCCAGAAAACACATTTATGTTAATTGTTATACAAATAACCACACATATACAGACACACGGAAATATGCCTTAAGATACTTGTGAAGTAAGATTAAATAAAAAGCTTCTTGCTGAATGTACCTAAACAATTAAAGTTTAATACTCGCCTGTGTATATATCTCCCTACCTACAAGACCACACGTTTGATTAATTATACACACAAATGTTACATAGAGATGAAAAAGAATTGGTTTTCGGCTTTCTATGAAATAAGCATTTTGACATTCAAAAGAATTCAGTGAATCTGCAAAGTTCTAAAATTTACTCGATGAAAACAACTCAGCTATGCAGCACTTATTCATCGCTGGTAAAAATGTATATTTTCCATTTATTGTATGAATCATTGTGAAGTCACATTTTTCACATGAGCACTAAGCCTATTTTTGTTTTCTAGTGGATAAGTTCTATTTTCCTATTGAAGATATTTCATGAAAAAATTTATAGTGAACAATCGACGAAAATATTTTCATTCTTTATGTCCTTCCTATATTTTCGCCCAACCCCGGTAAAAGTTGAAATACTGTCAAACGTCATTCATTAGTGACTGTTTCCAATCATAGTCAGCTGGAAAGAATTTATCACATAAGTATTAATAATTGATCTATTTTGCCGGCTACACCTAAAAGGATATAAAAATTAATGAAGGATAAGCCATGCGAAAAGTGAATTTGTGTTCGCTGTGGGAGAAGAGCTGGCAGTAATCGTTTTTCAAAGAATTGATTCTATCCAGTGGCTTTTCATAAAAATCTGCATTGTTAGCCTAGTAGATTATGAGTTGATGACAAATGGACGATCTGAATTCTTGCAGTATTCAAATAACTTTCATCTGAACAGAGAATAGTTCAAGTCGACATTCAAACTTCCGAAACACATATGTTTTGGATAATACAGTATTGGCTATAGAAAATGTCCATTCAATCTACTATCATTCAGTAACTGATAGTTTTGCACTTGTTTTTTTTCTTATGTTATTCTTACAGGCGGAAGTGATGAGGATATCAAAGCCAGAATCGTAAAAGCAAGACAAGCTTTCATTACTCTCAGGTCTGTGTGGAGGTCAACAGCACTCAACATCAAAAATGAGATCCGGATTTTCAACTCCAATGTGATGTCAGTGCTACTTAACATATGGATCAGAGACTTGGCCAGCGCGTCATAAAGAGCATCTCAAACAAACTACAGACCTTCATTGGCAGTTGTCTTCGCTCAATACTCAAGATCAGATGGCCGGCCAGAAAAGATCAGCAACAGGGTGGGATCTCTGGCAATGAGCGAACCAACCCAGCAGGAACCGATTGTGAAACAAATAGGCAGGAAGAAATGGAGATGGATTGGTCATACGCTGAGGAAACCATCAAGTGACATCACTAGACAAGCCATCGCTCGAGTGGAATCCGAAAGGGAAGCGTCGAGTTGGTTGTCAGTGCAAGGGTGACTTGGAGGAGGTCATGCGAGGAGGAGATGAAAGCATGTGTGGGCAGACGTGGAGCGGGGTGAAAAAGTTGGCAGAAAACAGAAGGCAATGGAGACTTGCAGCTGAAGCCCTATGTTCCTTTAGGAATTAAAGGATATTATAATAATTCTTACAGAGTATCTGCTATCAAAACGCACTTTGATGGATGCATTTAAGAAGAAAGTATTAGATGAAAACTCTTCACTCTTCGTCTGTTGCAAATTTGTTCGCATTAAGAATATTTATGGAAGGTAGTAGGTGCAAACCAAATTTTTGACAAATTAATTGCTTATAAACAAGTAAGTGGTAACATATTTTTGTGTTATGACTATTGATGTCGCCGAAAGTCTATTAGATTGTTATTGTTTCAGCTAGAACGCCAATGACAAAACAAAGTTTACCAGAAATCTATATCTTTTCTTAAATTATGTAATTAGTGTATAATAAATAAGCATGGCTGAGTATATTAACGGATTTAGCAGAGACAGACTTTCACACATCGAGAAATACAGCATTTTCGAATCACATAAGAGAAATATTGTAAACTGAAAAGTTTAACCAACTTACTTGTGATTTTTTCCCAGTTTTTTCGCCTCAAAATCACAGAATGTGACACGTGGAAAATTGCCCGAATGGAACCATTCACGTCCTTTAAGCAAGTCGTATAACACGCGAAAGCCGTAAAAGGTGTGTTCATTGCCAACAAATTTTTCCATCATAAATAACTGTCCAATTATATTTGTTAGATATAAGAATTTAGTGAAAAAATATAATACGATTAAAAAATTTCCCTGACGTTTACCGCAACAGCATGAACAACAATGACGGAAGTGACCTTTGTGTAAACTGAGCGGTTTTTCTTGTGGCTTATAGGCAGGAGATCTTGTTGTAGAACGAAATGAACCAGTTGTAGCACTAGTCGGCATATTCTGTTGTCCATGGCTGTCATCGATTTTTAATCGCCCAAGCATTGGATGAAAATCTCCACCACCTCTTGAATTCATTGTTTCCAAAGCAGCAGCTGCTGCGGCAACTTCTTCTTCTGTTACAGATGGCAAGTGTTTCTTGTTCTTTTTACCATTATCATCCATGGAAAAACTATGTCTTATTTTATCCAGCAAAGATGCACTTGAACCTCTACGTTGTGTTGTGATCAGTGTGGACTCCATTTGATGATCATTACTATGTCTGTTTTCATCACCGCCAATAGGTGATTGCCGTGGATTCACTGTACTCAATTGATGGAAGTGACCTGTAGGCATATATGGTGGCGACTGAGCATGAGAATGGGGTGGGGGAGGTGGTGGCGGTGGAGGAGGATGATGGTGATGTGAATGAGGGTGTTGATGAGAATAAGCAGATGAATAATGCTGATGTACGTGTACATGAGGTGACTGACCAAGTCCTGTGTAACTTGTAGGAGAAAATCCTAAAACTGTTGACAATTTTCTCTTACGGTAATCTCTTTGTCTGTAAATACAACCCTCCATGTATCGAGCAATAAATCTTACATTCTTCATTGTATGTTCAGGCAAAAGAACATTAGAATCACAGGCCATTTGTAGGATCCGCCTTACATTGAATCCTGACTGTGCCATAAATAACCTCCAAATCAAACAGGGTAAATAAAACAGCATGGCTTGTATAGCCATTACAATAGGTGCCCATTGGTAATATCCGATAAGTAACATTTCTCTGTCTGGTGCGGGGGGTAAACTGTGTTGCAGTGGTGCAAAATAAGTGTTAGAAACCCAACAATAATTCTCAGCATATTCTTCCCAACCTCGTGTAAATTCCTGGGGTATCCAACATTGAATCGGTTTGCCTGAAAATGCAAAAAGTATGAAATTTAGAGTGCTGGATATGACTAATTCATCATTTCACATGAAATTCGTATATTCATTTAACTTTGACAATGTTGAATGCATAATTTTATTAACACATAAAATAGTTCAAAACAAATAAGAGTTGCATTATTGAAAATGATTCAAATAATGGCGTATTTCTAAGGATGATACGGGATTATTGCAACAAGTACCGAAACTCAGTGTGAAATTCACTTTTGTTTATTCTTATGTTAAGGTGTCGTAATTTCATCTTAATGTAAGGTTCTGTAACAAAGTAGGACAATATCATGCTTGCTAGTGATGATTCACTATTGTCATTGTGACAAATTTTGTCCGTCACATCTGGGCTAACGTTTATGGTAATTAGAACACAAGCAAACAGTATGAAATACTTTTCGCTTAGTATACTAATGTATACTACTACAAGTACTCTTAAAATAAATTATACGTTAGGAGCAATAACAACTATATATATATATCCGTTTTCAATGGACAGTGTATTGGTTGTTTGCTTTCATGGCTGAATTCTACTTTTCTCTTCAGGAGAATTATATGTTCATTTTGCCCAACCAAAATATATGTTTGCTCCGCATTATATTCCTATTCGAAAAATCCTTATCAAGTCCTAGTTTATGAAATAGGCTACAAGATTGGCAACTTCCCTTCTTTCAGGACTCGTAAGTTTGCCATACATTTACTGTGACACACGGTGTATTAACATCATTCCAGGATTTAAATACCCTAGATGTGTTATTGAGTAAATAGGACATTTTAAGGCTATTCATAATTAATATTGCTGTCTAAAGCAAATAAAGTAGGTGGCATTATTGAGAGAGTTTCCCACAATTCATGGTTTGTGCGAATAAAGTGAAAGAAGCTTTTACCTAATCACGACAGTTAGCAGACTAAACTACATATTAAGTTTGTATGCTTGACGAAAAATGCATGTATAGCAAAGGCAGTTGACATTAGTTATTGTTAAACAAGCGTAAAATTGATGTCTTCCTTATAAATTGAAGCATATGTATATGCAAAGTATAGTTAGAGAAACTGGGTAAATGAAATCTGTTTCAGTAAATGCTTGACAACTTGGATATAATTCCGACTGGCATAGTTATCAGGTAACTTTAAAATCTATATAACCCCGATATACAAAGCCTACTGAAAATCATGATCTAAAAACGATTCAATCAGACGTGTGATGAAGATATTTGCGATCATATCACCTTTGATGCTACGAGGTATCAGTCAAACAATTACCTTCAACTATGCTTAATCGAGTAGCACTTTCATTTCTTTGCATAAACACATGTATGCATCTGTATATGTGTATACCACAGGTGAGAACAATTTCCAGTGATGGAATTCCAAAGGTGAGCACCAGACCAAATAATATTATCGTTCATCATTTCGGAGAATATTTAAAAAATTAATTTTGCTATTAATGCTCCATCAGGAATTATGTTTCCAACTGTAAACGATATTCTTGGTTGTGAATGATTAAAATTACGGAAGTCTGTTACAGTACAGGTAAGTATTCTTATTATAATAAATTTTTATTCATTTTGTTGAGATTTATGCCTGCAACCTTAAAGCAAATGAAAATCTAAAAGAGCGAGTGATTTGCAAACAATCCACAGAAAGAGTCAACTATACAATATAGTTTGAGGGTTCTTCTGGAGCGTGCTCCCCAGATTACCTTAGAAATTATCGCCAGGCTCATCAGCAAGTACATTAGTCATTTAGTCATAACTCGATTCATCTCTTCTCGTCAATTAACAGTAAACAAAACTGACAACAAACTGTCTCTCACATATTCAACAACTAACAAGACAATTTCATCATCATCCCATCAATCCCATGTCATCCAATCTGATCTAAATACACCAGTTAAACACTGGAAGCATGCAACATGATGACTTCTCACTTTCGCAATAATTGATTGACTGATCACTTGCAGCTAAGCAACGAAATTGTAAGCAACAACAATGTCTCTGTTTGTATATACTTTCACGTGTACTTGTGGTTGGGAGCTGTGGAAATGCATAGACTGAAGAGGTGGGCGGGATACGAGGGATTTGTTCTTAACTAAGTAGACTTCAGTTATTCCACCACCCCACCCCCTTCATCCGACCGTTCACATTTCTCCCTCTTTCTCCTCTCTCATTTTGGTTTCATTCACATTTTTACCAGAAAGGATTGAAGGATGTTTGTTTTTGTTTGTTTTCACGGATGGGTGAGTTGGTTGAGTAACAACGAAAACAAACAGATGAAGGAAAATTTTTGATCGGATTTATATATAGTTTAGATCAATCGATATTAATCAGATTTTTAAGAATGAGTTTGCAGGAGATGATTCTTGAACCTTATTATGTTCATGACTATTGCATCTACACTTGGATACCTTGTGAAAATATCCGTCAACTTTCTTTTTATATGTCCATGGTTATGGCTTTACATAAAACAATGTATATATTGGCCTAATAATAATGGAAATATAAGTAAATTTGCAAGTAAGAAAATCATCTAAATTGACATTTTACTTCCGCATGAATAAATCCTTAAAACCATTAGTCATTTGACAAATTTTTCTCATTCCTTTCACTGAGATATTTAGGTTTCTTCTGTCAAGCTGATTTATCTTCATGTTCGGTAGAATGATCAGTAGAAAAACGACAGCACATATTGCTTCTTTTTTATGTTATTGATTGATATCGAAATTGGCAGAGTGTGAACGATGATTAACTAGAATATTCGGTATCCAACCCGTGTTTATTTTACAATGAAAAACGTGTCCATCACCTTAATCTGTCATCTGCATTATAGTTTATTATACAAAACTTACTCAAATCAGTAACAGACATTCATGTAACAATGAAACAATTTATATAATTCTGTCATTCAGTATAATGGTTTTTAACATGACCATTACGTTGCTTGTATAGAATATGTGGGGTAATATGCATATATATACATATATCATATTTGCATTTGACATATTCATATGTTTAGAAGGCTTTCAGTGGATATGCTTATACCAGACTAGTAGCCCGAAAGATTACCAATTCATTAGATGGTTATAGCATCAAGACAAGAAATACGGGCCTAAACCAACTAGTTTTAATGAATTAATGAAGTACTTATTTTTACGAGATTCAAGTACTTCAACGTATCTGAATTGTAGTTTAATAATTCCCTCTAAACATTTGTAAGTAACAGCTTCACTTTAAAAGAAACCTATTTGCGGACCAAAGTCAAGGTCATGAATATGCAGCATTTAGCAGCATCGCACATTTACAACTATAGTAACTACATCCGAACAAAAATTTTCCTTCATCTGTTTGTTTTCGTTGTTACTCAACCAACTCACCCATCCGTGAAAACAAACAAAAACAAACATCCTTCAATCCTTTCTGGTAAAAATGTGAATGAAACCAAAATGAGAGAGGAGAAAGAGGGAGAAATGTGAACGGTCGGATGAAGGGGGTGGGGTGGTGGAATAACTGAAGTCTACTTAGTTAAGAACAAATCCCTCGTATCCCGCCCACCTCTTCAGTCTATGCATTTCCACAGCTCCCAACCACAAGTACACGTGAAAGTATATACAAACAGAGACATTGTTGTTGCTTACAATTTCGTTGCTTAGCTGCAAGTGATCAGTCAATCAATTATTGCGAAAGTGAGAAGTCATCATGTTGCATGCTTCCAGTGTTTAACTGGTGTATTTAGATCAGATTGGATGACATGGGATTGATGGGATGATGATGAAATTGTCTTGTTAGTTGTTGAATATGTGAGAGACAGTTTGTTGTCAGTTTTGTTTACTGTTAATTGACGAGAAGAGATGAATCGAGTTATGACTAAATGACTAATGTACTTGCTTGATGTTGCTTTCATGCGATCCAGCTGGTCGACTAATTCAATGCATTCTGATTTGTTTTCCTGGTAATTCTACGTTGTTTTTACTTTGTGTGTCAGGATTAACCAGCTCTATTCTCTTACTATGTGTAACGGATGATAACTAGATTACATTTCAGTTTAAGAGTTTCCAGTTCGCTACATTTAGTTGTTCTGGTGGAACCTCCTAGTTTAAAAACGCCCTTATTTTCTTTTAAACTTGTTACTGTGCATTCGGGTGACACTGTAATTTCTGTCATAATGTCCACAGCTTTATTATCTGTTATCTTTTAGACCGGTTTATTCAAAGAACCATGTGAATGCTCAACTGAATGTTAATAATTCAACACAAAGTGATACAATTGATGTGAGATCACATTATTTCCCGCAAAATTCGGGTATTTATATCAATTTCACCACTGAGAAAAGTAAATTACCGGGATGATTTCTTGTGCATATAGTCATTTAAACCTCGAAAATTTACGTATACACCTACGGAATCATAAAAAAATTATAAATAACTCACTGATACACTTTTAAGACAAACCAGCCGTATTAATTTTTTCTTTTCATCTATTCTTTTATTTATAGAAATCTATGAGAGGTTAGAGGAATTCAATATTTTCATTGTAGTAACTAACTCCCCTGACTAAGTTTTCATTCAATAAAGTTGTGTTTTTATTTTGACAGATATAAAGTAGCTGATTTCAAACGTATCGATGCGAATGATGATTCTTTCTTGAAGATATTAAGAATTTTATGCTGTAAGTCATTTAAGCTTGACATATTATTTTAAGAGAATGAAAGACAAAAAGTATGATTCAATGTTTATCTGTTATTCAACTTGTTCAAATGAATGAAAATCTTATCAATGGAGGTTGATGAATCCTAATACACACGGTTTTGAAGACCATCAATAAAAGTGACTCATGCTTATCATTAGTGTTGTGTCATTTTATTTTCATCACTTCAATAGAATACGCTATAATGAGAATATTCTCTGAGATGAATCAAAATACCAGTATGTTGATAGAATGTATTTTAAATCGGCATTAGGTGGTTGGAGAAAATTGACCTAAAT